CGAAACCGTGGAATTCTCCCTACGACCGAGAATCTTCTGTACCGGCTCCAGGAGGAGATACAGATTCGCAAGGCTCAAGATGAAACCTTTACCACTAACTTTTGCAAGCCTGCTACGCCTAGCAAAGGCAGGAGCAAGTAGAAGAACAAAGGGAGGGGCAGCAATCACCCATCTCCTAATGGCCCCAGAGAACTTGCGGCCATCACATTCATGCTCTCAATATTGGGGTTTTTGTTGCATTTGTACTGTATCCTGATATCCTCTATTTTGTTGATAGTTGATATAGCTTTGTGCATTCGATTGGTCCATGTTTTAAAATACAAAGTCTTATTCTTACCTAGAACAGGACCTGAAGTCTGACAACATAAAGCCCGGGCAATGGGAAAACAACTGGCTTGAAGCGCTACCGATGCTACTTGAACTGGAGTCTGAGGATTATGAATTCTGCTAATACCAAGTTGGAAGTCCTTAGCATCCCTATAAGTCATTAACTAAGTTCACATTGTAGGAATCTCAGGTTCTAACCACGGATAAGAAGCGGGTACACCTTGAAGCTGTCCAGACCACTTGAGATCATACTGAAACCCTTCCTGTAAACCGGAAGGCCGTTCACTGGCCTGGGATATTGGAGAAACAAATGAACCCCAATGTGGAATACCACATGGGTTACCGTTGTCGAGTGCGGCTATGTTGATGGGTTCCATGGGTGGAAGGAGGCTAGAGGAGAAGCGTTATTGACATGCTGGAAGCACTTTCCCTTAGTTGAGTAATGTCAGCCGCTATTTATAATGGTTGACATCGGTGCAGCTCCCCTTGTAGGAACCTAGTCTCCTTATCCATACCGCCCCGAGTAAAGTCTGGAGTCTACCCTTAACGCACAACCGACATGGATATTTTTTTATTTTAGGAAAGCCTTGCTTAATCTTTAGATGACCCGTATGTAATGGTACGAAGGGACGTCTGCTTCGCAGGGTACTACTACATACCTGTGTTAAGTCGAAATCAATTATGGCATTAAATTGGACAACTTTAGGGAAGATGAAACTGGATCGCGAGCAGAAACTGGATCGTGACCAGAAACTGGATCGTGACCAGAAACTGGATCGTGACCAGAAATTTCTGCCCTGTCAGTAACGCAAGCCTCCCTTGCATCTCCAAGGGCCATTGGGGAAAAGGACTAGAAGTGGCTTATGAGTGACGACCAAGTGTCACGCCATCAATCTCAGCACGCGCCTCGTCAAGTGGGATAGAGGTGACTAGCTTGTGCGTGTTTGAGTCTGTGGCCATCGAACCGACAGTGGTTGGACGCATACCTAAGCATATAATAATAAATAGTCCCTTGCACATGGAATTCCACCCAAATCGCGACCGCCTCGTAGGCCCATATCAATAGACAGCAAGCACCCTTTACAGAGTTCATAACGGCGGGGGCATAGATGTGGGACAGCCCTAGATGTGGGACACCTCCCACACCCAAACCCACAATGTTCACTTATACACATCTCCTTAGCCAATGAAGCCCTAGATACCGTAAGTACGGCATCTGAATTGTCTTTTCTTGGTGTTTCTTTTGATCTAGGTTTTATATGGTCTAAACGCGGGGGATCGGCGGCAGTGGGGGTCGGAAATTAGCACTTCCGGGCCTAATCTGAGGCGTAATGGGACCCCCCTATCCCCTTCAATGTAACAGAAGTTCTGCGGTTCTTTTTTTTCTTTTTTTCTGTAAGCATCATAGGCTTCAGTACGTTGAAATGCCTCTTTCTTACACTGAAGAAGACCTCGCAGAGGCAATCGTCGCTGTGAACGATGGCCCATCCCTCCGCAAGGCCAATCTGCGCTGGGGAGTACCGAAATCGACTCTCGCACGCAAGGTAGAGGGCACCACAATACGCTCAACGCTAAATAGCCGTGAAGGGGCTCGAAATAGCCAAAAGCTAAGCCCTGAGCAAGAGACTAAGGTGGTATCATGGATCCTTCATCAAGAAAAGGCTGACCACGTGCCAACTCACGGCAATGTGAGGTACGCAAATCACGATCGAGAGTAGCTAGATAGCTTGTCATAATTGGTTAGCTATAGTATGACTTGACAAGCAACTTCCAGGTCTCCATTATGTGGTCATGCAGGAAAGGTTTGGCAAGTCTGTCGCGAGAGGTCCAGGAATTGGGCCAGTCGATAAACAGCTTCCTGGTCATAACCGGATCCCACTTAGGCTAAAAGGGTGGTTGATATAGTTGTTTTGCGTGCGACAGATCTAAAAACTGCGTTAATGTTAGGCATGGAGGATCTTAATAGGCTACTTTGTGGACGTATATTATTGAGGCTTTTCTGGACGTTTAGAATACATGCACCATGGACTGGAACTGTTTAGTTTCACCCTCTATGATATCATTGTAAACCATGCCTCCCAGAGCCTCTGTATCGCATGGTTGTGGAGGTGTCAGAAGATATATACAGTCCCATCAAGCTCCAAAAGCATGGAGATTCCAGCTCACTTTTAGACAATTCCCTGGTAAGGCGGTTATCTGACCAGTATTGATGTTCCATTTCTAGACCAGTGCCTGAGTATAAAGCAGATCTTTTTCCTTTCTTTATAAAGAACAATTAGAATATAAAATCTTTATTTAACTTTTGACTATAAACCACTTTATATCATATGTTTTTTGCTATATAGAGTTTAACACAGATTAAACTCAATATATATTATAACGTCAACTTACTTCTATTGCCTACATTGAAAATGCTCTTACCATGGAAACGACAAGGCCTTTGGGCTTTACTTGCAATATCATTTATATTGGCCATTATTTTGGGGTCTCTTGCTCTCGGTACAGACCATAATAAAACAGCTGGGATTATCGTCCTACAGGTATGTTGCTTTGTCACCTGCCCACGGATTAAGGCTAACAAGTAACAGTTCAATTTTAGCTCCCTGCTAGGCGGAGCATTAGCCACAAAGAGGTTACCTCTAAAATTACAAGTGGACACTTTGATTCGTAATATAGTCGCCGACGCAGCTGGCTCCGTTGGTGACCAGACAGGTAGCCTTCTAGACTCCCTTACCAGTGGAGCGGGAGACCTTATCGGCAGCACCCTCCAAGAGCTACTTCCGCAGAACTGTTCCATCGGTACCGAGAAATTCTGCGTTGGGACATCCCAGCAGGTTTCTTGCCATGCATTGCCGCCGGCATTGTCTGATATCATTGTATCAGAACTTCAGAACAACCTGGGGATTGATGTCAGCCAGCTCAATGCGTTGGATAAAGCCGTTAAAGGATTTACGGCTGACCCTATCCGTGATCCGTGGATCGTGGGTAGCATTCTCCTCACATGCTTGATAGGGCTTACAATTATCACTGCTCTCAGAGATCTGTTCATGAATTCCATCTGGTCAAGATTCACCATACCTGTTGTAGTCGGGTTAGCTTCATGTGTTTTTTACGCGATTCCTGTTGTAGTTGTCCGGAAGTTGGTGCTGCACGCCGGAGACGTTGCAGACTGGATTCACTCTGTTCAGGGCGAAAGCGTGGGGTATTTAATTGGCAGCCTATGCTCTGCCATTATTACGACTATGTTATGCTTAATAGTCGTAGTCGCGCTATAAGCGTAATCTATGCCCCTTAGATATGGAACAAGACCATAGGTATGCTGCGAGACACGCGATCGGGAGGAGATATGCGTTCGGGCGTCAGATACGGTATAAAGAAAGCGTCTGTATAGAGTTGATCAGGCTCACACACATCTTCAGAGTCCTTATTTGAGGTTCCATATATGTCCGAATTCACGTCGTCATCGCTCTCTGCTACTCGACCGTGCCCATATTCTTCTGAAATAGGGGGACTGACGTCCTCATCCTCTTCGCTAATAGCGGGACCAGTTTCTAGCTGCGTTTGATTCTAGTGGAACCCGAATCCTCGACTCACAGCCGAATGATGCCCACACACACTTCGCCAAAGCCAGTGACCGCTAGAATTATCAGACGGAGGTATGTGGATAGGGAACAATATGATCGATCGCCGGTTTGTTAGATTTCAAAGTGTTCTATTAAGGAGAGGAATTCCAGCTACTCTGGAGCGGCCAGAATGGCCCTATGTATATCCAAGATACTAAAGGAAAGGATACGTGGCCTTATATTGGCCACGTATGTGACAGAGTCACAAATGGGGATGGTGATCCTGAAGGATGACTATGGATGGGCTAACGTAGCCCAGAATCCAACAACCTTTCGCTATCCTAAAACCGAATACCTCTTATAGATCTAACTACCAGGCTACCGTGATATTCGGTGCCCTTCGTACCGTCCTTTGTCAATCGCGGCGCCCGCGGCGCTTTCCACTGCCAGGACTTCGGCGTCCTGACAAGAATACTCCAGGATTTTGGGCTGCTGATGGTTCCAGCCGATTGGAGCTGCTGCTGCAGCTGCCCGCTGGGAGCCTTGTCTCATCCTAGGCCTGTCCGAGACATGCGAAGATGATGCTGCTGATGTCATTTCAACGTCTCCCTCAGTGTCTACTTAAGCAGGGCCGTCCAGGTTAATTCACCTTGAGAACCCAGACGTACTTGACCCACTGGATGGTGTCTGAGTTTCTCCTGCTGAATCCAAGACGGGGAAGATCGTGCCATTCAAGAAACTGTTGGGCCGCGGGCCCTTGCCCTCCAGCCAAGCATTGATGGCGGCGTGGATATCGGCCGGTTTGCGCTCGGGGTTGAGAACAGTCGTCAAACCTTGAGTAAGGTTGTGAACAACACCGCTGGCGACACCGTCGACATCTCTAACAAGATCTCCAGCGTGGCTGTTAGTGATAACAGAGGTGCTGTTGGTCCAGCTCTGGGTAGTACAGCTCTGGGTGGCATCGCTCTGGGATCCACGGATGAGATCGGCTGCCTTCTCGGCGGTGGCATAGACGGCAGCCTGGAGATGACCGCCGGGAATCGTGGGGAAGACACTAGCATCGACAACGCGCAGGCCCTGCACGCCGTACACACACAGCTAGTTGTCGACAACACCGCCGTGGTTGCGCGGCAGCATGGCTGTCGTGCTGCTGGGGTGAAAGTTAGTGCGCAGATCGTTGTACAGGGTCTGGCGCAGCGTCGCGTCATCGACGGCCGGGCCGTAGCCGGCATGGGGCACGGGTTGCAACTCCTGCATGGCCTTGGTGGCGACCAGTCGGTCGTTCCAGCGCAGGCCGCGCATCAGCAGGTCGCAGTCGAACGCGTGCGAGCAGTAGCGCGGGTCGATCAGGGGCGCGTCGAAGATGGAAGCGGAGGCGGCGGTGATGTTGCCACGGCTGAAGGGGTGCATGATTGAGATGGTCAGCTCGCCGTAAGAAGTCGGCATGGGTAACTCACTGTGACAATTGCCTTGCAGAAGCTCTCTTCTCGCATCATATACTGGAAGTGCTGGCAGCATCGAGATAATTTAAAGATGTCGTTAACGTCCAAGTCCCTCGCAATGTATGCCATAACGGCGGGGCCATATAAATGGGACACCCCCATATGTGGGACAGTTTTCATACCAAAAGGCTACACTTCCACCCACCGATAACTCAATCCGAATTGAAGCTCTAGATAATCTATATAATGCGTTCGAATCGCCTTTTCTTGGAATTTTCAGCAATATTATGTGTACTAGCGGTAGCGTGCAGGCTGGCGGATTGCGCGGCGTGAAGATCGCACCACAATGGGCTCGTCGGACTCCTCATGCGTGCCATCACCCCCTTCGTCAATAGCTACCCCTTCATCCTCAGAGGGTCCCAATTCCTCTGATTCTTCTAAATATGACTCCAGAGAGGGATCAGACATTGATCTCTCTGATTCGTCAGTGTTCAGGTTCTGTAATTCACGCACAACTCGTCGTCGCTCTTCCCGCTGCTTAATGGCAGCTCGTGCGGCCTCCGTATGCTCGATTTGCTCCTGAATAACGTCATTGGACAAAGGACGACATAGCCTCCTAGTAGTAGCTACCTAGCTATCAAATGCCACTACCCACACTCACCTCTTCCAAAGACGCCCTTCCTGCCGCATAGCAACAAGGCCAAAAGGATGCAAATCTGCTGCATTGATGTTGTTGTTTCTTCTGGTTTTTTTTGGGAAGGTTTGCGTAGCTGCAGTGGATGTGGGCAATATGCCAACCAGAGTGGATGACATGACCATGCAACACTTCCGGTCCTATCCTATCAAGCAATAAAATCGGCAACGGCTTCCTCGTATGGATCGTCTAGCAGGTATTTATATTAGCTAAGAAAGTATTAGTTTATTACTTTATAGCTTATACCTTTTATAATTTGAGTGAACAACGCAACGCGCATATCTTGTGCCCGCATGTGCTGCATGTCTCGGTGTATAGATTGTTATATTGTTCGCATTTGTGGCATAACCAACTCATTGTTGCGCAAGTTTATGGACCGAGTTGAGAAGGGGGATGTTGGTTGATCGACAATCACAGAGTAAGTTGCAGTATGAGTCAAGAAGATTTGTTGAAGACGATTGGGAAGCAGTAATACAAGTCGAGGGGATGGCTTGATGGTTTTATAACTAGGAAATCTTAGGTTTCCTGACCTGAAACCGTGTGTTCCAGGATGTCTCGAAAAAGGAGATGACTCGGTACTTTCCTTTGCATTGGTTGGAAAAATCACTAGAAATTCTCGTCAGATAATCGGAGGGCTCGGAGTCGCGATCAACGATCAGTGCGTGAATAAGCTTCTCGTTAGGTTGGCCATAAACAAGACTCTGTAGCTGCTCATTTCGGAGCCCGAGATTTAGAACACCAAAAAAGAGTAATCCACAGTATGCGCGGGTCAGTTCGAGATTGGCTTCTATGAACGATTTCTTCTGGGCGTATAGTAGTGCCTAGTCGCAATTAGCCGGGCGATAGGGCGTCCCGTAACGATCGTCTTACTTCTTTGACAAGGAGCCCGCCCAGGCTATGTCCGATGAAGATTATGGGACGACGGGTACTCTACCTTAAGATGAGCACTGTACCGTAGATCTAGGCTCGGACGCACATACCTCGGTACTGGTTCGGAATGCCACAAGGTCCTCGAGAAAAGATGACCCCATGTTCTCGATCGACTTCCTGGAATCGCTCTTTAACAGCTTCGTGTCATAGCCATAGATAAGTACTCGCGCATTGGGTATATCCGCGGGCAGGTAATCTCGCAGCCAGATGTCGTCGCTGCTAGGAGACTTCCACGACCCGAACGCGTGGCTTGCAAGGCCGGGCACTGCAACGATACTGGTGGTGAGACACGACAAGTCAGCAATTGAAACGGCAGTCAAGTGATGATTGTAGGTAGTCTCACTCGACATTGACTCGGGTTACGCCCGTGTAAAGCGGTGTGATATCGTGGAAGTCGGAGTCGTACTTGTACTTCCGCTCTCCGCTGGCCTCTTGTAAGCGGCGCACTAACTCGATTACTGGGATTGATGTGTAGAAAGTGGCAGTAGCGCAGGCCCAGCGGCTATCCCTAGGGGCTAGAGTGATACGGCTGACGCTGCGAACGGTGTCCCGCAAGCCTGGGCCTTGTGTAATTATCGCCCTCAGTTCGCTGTCTAGGGCTGCATCAGATGTGTCGATCGGGATTTTGTCGATGCGCAGGGTCAGATATTGGAGAGGTCTTTCTGTACGCGGCATCTCCTTAAAAGACAACGTGTAGCGATAAAAGGCCGAAGTTAAGAGGATGGCGATAGCAGCCACTGCGAGCGGCCAGGCGCGCCCAGCCAGAACATCTAGTCGGTCAAGGACGCCAACCATGATGGCAATTTGTGCAGAATAACGTGTAGGGCGGGCGGTGACCGAAGCTGCCTCGGTCGGTAGGTTCGATGGTATGAAAACGCAATAAGCGATAGTGGAGAGAGAGAGATTTGCCGATGCTAAAGACAGAAAGGCTAGACGGGAAAGCCAGGAGGGGTAAGGGGTAGGTAGGCAAGCATAGGCAAGCATAGGTAAGTATATGCGCGCTCAGCCTTGGGGGCTGCGTCTTAATACGTCTATATAAGCGGCTGAGCAGGGCCAATATGTGACCTACTATTCCAGCATAGCCCCCGAGGCTTTCTCGCCTTTCGCACCGGCCGGTGCACTAGGGCTCTTGTCTAGCATGGGCCTGCATAGTTATCGGATGGCAACTATTAGAGTATCAGTACGAGGTAAGCCAAGCCGTTTATCAACTCGAGAGGCAGATCCTAGAACCGGCTATGCATTATACATGTGCACCTGTTTCAACTAGTGTGAGATCGCAGATATCACGGTTCAGTGGTACATGCTGTCGTTGCGCAAGAAAGACCGAAATACAACGAGGACGCGTAAGCAGAGGACAGCGCCAAGGTATGTTCGGCGCAGGTACCCCTAATCGCTTTCACCGGGTTACCTTGTGCCTTGTGGTAGCGGTATCCAGAATAAGGACCAGGGTCACGATAGGTGGCTATTGGTCTGTATTCTGGAAGTTGCTTGCCTGAAAGAAAGGATGGGTGGTGTCCCCATCCCAGAAGTAGCTATCATTCCAGTTGGGTACAAACCTGGTACAAACGGGTACCAGTCAGGCTCCAAGGTACCTTGTACCACGGGCCTTAGCCCATCCGTGATTGTGGCTGGAAAATGGGTTGAGGAGCCACAACCTTGAGCACCCTGAGTCTTCCCCTTCTAGGCGCATATCGAGAACAGTACAAGTCTGGCCCAGTCATGTCATCTCGGGACTAATGAGATCTGGACCCTTCAGAGACCGAGAGGGTCGCGGCGAAGAGTTGTTCAATCTGCAGAAGCTTGGTATCGATCGATCAAGACAGAGTATGTTGCTGTGAGATCGGTGAGGGGTAAGGGCAAGGCAGATAGGGCAAGGCAGAGAGGTAAGGCAGACAGGCGAAGACGCATCGAGGTAGCACTCCGGGTAAAAAATGGAAACACTCCCAACCTTGTAAGCAGTCCCATCTTCATAAATCCTAAGCCTGTTTGAAACAGTGGCCTTGCGGTCTCGGTATAGTAAGTATTCAAAGACGAGGGTCACCCCAGAGTATATAAGCAAAGAGTTTCAAGCCTGAACCCGACCCGGCCTTACCCACCACCCCCAGGGTCTAGGTACTCCATTCTGCAGCAATAATGTGCCTACCACCCGCTGCCGGGCCGCCCTTTGCAAGGTGCTTATCTTTAGCTAATATCTTAATAACTTTGTTTTAACATTTTAAAGAAAAGGCTTTACTTCTTACATTGCGTTTAATAGCTTAGTTTATAAAGATTTCGTTTAATCGAGGTCGTTTTATATTAGTAGTGCTGCCGTTATTAACATTTCGAGATTTTCCTTTCAAAGGGGAAACGATGGTGAAGTCAGCCTCGGAGACCTATGACGGGCTACTGCTAATGTCATCGAGCAGCGCCTGGCAGAGCCTGCTCGGAGTTGCCGGGCCGTATGTCTTTTTAGGGGCCGGGGATTTGAGCACGCTGCCAGTGGTCGTCTTCGGGACGGCTACGGGCATGTTTGGGGGCCTGTTGTAAAAGGGTGCTATCCGACTTGTAAGAAAATTTTTATTCCGCCTTAGCAGAGATAGTTAGTTATTAAGACAGGTGCTTGCTTTAGTATAGATATAAAGGTTGCGCCTTAATAGCAGGGCGCTAAGAAAAATAGTTGTTTTAGTTAAGACTATGTAGATAGTTTTTACCTTGGTGATTAATCTAAGCATCTTAGCTAACACTAAGGTGGGAGAAATTTCGTAACGACTTAACTATTTAATAAACCTAGTTTAAACTAAGCCTTAGCATCTAAGTGTCTTCTAATTAATAAAAGCCTTTATCGTCTTTTATATTAACTTACCTTAAAACATAAACCCTATTAAACCTTTTAGCCTTATAAGTTAAACGGCTCGTTACACTTTATTTATAGACGGCGACGGCGACCTCGAAGTCGTCGTCGCCGTCGTGACGGTTCCAGACCTTAGGGAAAGGAGACGTGCCGCTCGTCGCCGCAGGACCTGACGACGAGGATCACGACGCGCGTCGCTCTTTAGCGACGACCCGACGTCGACGGCCCCGAACCACGATACGAGAGAGCCCCGATGCCGAACATACGTCGATAGAAGGGGCTGACGAACGCGACTGTTCAAATTGCCGGTGAAACGCTACGGTGGGAGGAGCTCGTGATACGGTCGGCTAGACGGTGACCTATTGGCGGATGGGAGGTTGGAAGCTTCGTGTCAGCTCTACGGAGCCCCGGAATCAAGGATATCACAGATCGGGATAGATGTCGATACCAACCCTCACCCGGAGGAGGGGGGACACGATGAGAACCGCTGCTTAGATGCAGTGGCTGTCTGCGGACGAGATCTGCTAGCTGGGCAGCTGTATATCATATAGTATGAGACCTAGCCTAGCACGCCTGCGCGCCCTTTTGGAGGCCCAGGTCCGCCGCTTTGCGGCAGGCCCCCTGGCGTTAAATGCTACTACTACTACTACTACTACACTTTATTTATAACTTCGTTGTATACGTAACCATTTACGTAGCCAACATATGGCCACGTATCCATTTCTTCTATATCTTAGATATATAGGGCCATTTTGGCCGTCCTAGAGTAGCTGGAATTCCTCTCCTTGAATAGAACACTTTGAAATCTCACAGCCGCACGTATCAAGCGGTGACTGGCTCAGTGCTAAGTAGGCGGTGTCTAGGTAAAGGAACAGCAGTAAAGTGATCATGGATTGCAGGGGAATTTGAAACGAAGTGAAGCAGCGGAAACATATGTTTACAACGGAAGAAGCCTAGTAGACAAGATGGCAAATCATGTACGAAATGAAGGTAGATTTCTATAGCAAAATGCACAAAGGCTTTGGCACAAAACGACACCGAGACATCGAACTTCGAGAACGAAGTGACTATTAAAGGCAACGAAACAGTCGCTTCACCGTATCTAGGCCTCCCTGAAAACGACCGGACTGTGGCTGTATGTATATCAGCAATGTTGCCCATCTCACCACCCCCCGGGCAAGATAACCTGTCTTAGCCTTCCTACAAGTCACCCTCTCATCCCTTGCATCAGGGGTTTAAAACGCTAAATATCGCCTTTGAAATTTACCCAACGCCTCGAAAAAGTCCCCGCACACCTTCTCCTATAAATAATGACTAGGAGCCCGATTTATCTATTTACAGGCGACATCTATCGACATTTACACCTTTCCTGGCCGTATGGCGCAATGGTCAAATGCGCTTGGTTGTGTTCTCGTTTGTGCGGTGGGCGACGAGAACAAGTGGGTTCGAATCCTGCTACGGCCCCCTTCTGACCCGGCTTGTGCGAGTCGACAACTAGCACACGACAGTGGAGAGGGCTTCTTATCGCAGAGCCCGATAGCCAAAGGCTTGTCTCCATCACACCCACTCCTGCGAGGTTTTCGCCCCTTGTGGTTTCCCTCGCCAGCAGATAACAAACACCTGCTTCATCCACCAATGCGACATATATTGAACGGCTACTGGAACGATATGTACACCAGAGGACTGAGGTCCACTGGGCCGCTTTGTCACTGGACAGGAGGTTTTTCTGACGGAATCGTGCTTGGGTATTGACTAAAACCATCTGGACACTCCAGGTTGGTACCGCTACAGCGAGGATGGGCTCGTGCGCGGATCTGAATGTATCTAGACTGACACCGTTCAGTGGAAACAACGGGATCCTCAGCACGAAAGGAATTACCCAACTGAAGTGTCTTCCTATCAAGGTCCATTCAGCAAGGGCTTTGATACTCTTGCGCCATTGAAAGGCCTGGTCCTCGTTCTCGAGGAGGTGCCTTGATTGGCCTGTAGCATATTCCGCGACATTGTCGGTTGTGAAGGCAAGATAGTTCATTCGCATCTCGGCAAACCCATCTCGAGAAATCTGCGTGTCCATGTGTTTATCGCATCGAGAACTAGCCACGGAGACTTTACCTGGTACCATAGGAGGTTCAAGCACGAAGAACACTACAACTGCTCTTGCGGGATAATCAAAACGCGAGCCCACTTTGCCTTCTGCAACAAAGCCCTCGCGAAACGGTCTGGGTGGCCACGAAGGAACCGCGGACACAACGGAGTACCCGAACCAGAAGGGAGAGCCTATTGGAGCCCCTTTCGGTCGCAAATGCACACCTTCTGTCTGCCTTGACTGGTGTCTAGCCAAACCTAACGAACTTATCAACTGCACCGGTATACAGTCCCAGACGATACGATGTTTCTTGATTATTTAACTTGTGTCACCAGCAGGGTGCTGCAGATTTTTGGAGTCTTCTCATCGTGATACTAACTTTCAGCAGTCTTTTTCCGCCTGGAACAGTCTTAGAATTCGGGTTTCTTTATGTCTCATCTATACAATCGTGATCTCCACGTGCTTTAATAGGTTCGGGGTGAAAATGTCGGCTACATCAGCCTCCCAGGCAAAAGATCCGACACGACGAATTATGGTATCGCATTCGAACTCGTGTGCGCTTTGAAGGTCCACCTGTTTAGGGGATGTTCTAGTAAGCGGGCGCCTCAAGTAAAGTTGAGAACTCGCACCCATGTAACCCATACGCCGGTACGTGTTCGTCGCCTCAACAGCTTCCAGCAATATGCCGGCAACCTCACACCGGAACCCTCGAGTGAGATGAAAGTTGATAGGTAAATACTGAAGTGTGACAGGTGTCACAGGGCGCCTGGGCTCATCATCGTATATTATGGTTTATTTATGGGTCGTGGGCTCGCCGCCTACTGTGATGGCATCGATGGCATGTTTCGCGGGTTCCGGGTGTACCACGATATCAATCAGCATGCCTCAAACGCGTAGGTGGCCAGATGTGACTTGGCCAAAGGGATCGTCATTAACCAGTAGTTCGGTATGAACGTCGAGGATCTCAACTAGAGGGTGCCAGCCTTCTTCAAGCAGATCTTCAAGACCCACAATGTGAGCATCGACCGATGTCCAGGCCCATGACGGTGCTCGGTACACTTCGGGTCTCACGCGTTGATTGCCCATGAAGCTATTATCATTTCAAACCAGTCCGAACGAGAGCTCGACCTTTGCATACGTTGCGGGAAGCGATCGCGGACACGCAGCTTCAGGGCGTCCATGCCGGCCTTTCCGGTCGAGTTCAAGACCAACCAAGGGGCCTTGGCAAAGAAACTTCGCTCGTCCGTCTGCCCCTGCTCAAGGCTTTTGTTCGCATCATCCGGACCTCGGTTCTTGACGATGTAGTAGCCCAGGGTGAGCTCGCTTCTCTTGCCCATGACATGATCGATTGCGATCTGTTGGGTGTTCCGCTCGATTGCCAGATCAGGCTTGGTGAGAACAGCCATGGTTCTCGTCATGGTGGGATTTGACGCCTTGTCCAGCGACAGGTCTCAGGCGTCGCGCATTCCACGAAATGCCAATCGACAAGTCGTTCTCCTCTGTTACCTCTGCTTCTGCTGGTGGCGACCTTGCAGACTCGGTGCACCGCAGCGAGGGCGTCATTCTTCTGTAATGATACTTAGCTTTCAATGGGGGTAGGTAGTCGTACGGCTATCCTTACATCCGTGATTAAAAGCCTAAAAGCCTCACCAACGCTAGTCAGGAATGCTGCATCACCCACACATCAGCCGCGCATCAACTATGCATCATCATCTGCAATCATATCATAGCCCTTATCTCCATTGCATACACCTTGGAGCAGAACGGATTCACAATGGGAAGAGTGAAAGCCCGTATTTTCATACTCGGGAGGGGCGGCGCGGTATCACGAAGCAAGCATCGTTCCTACTGCAACCGCCATAGCACCACTACCACTACTCCTAACAGCAGGACGCGAGTTACCGATAATCAAACAAGTCGCAAGCGGCACAGAGGCCACGAAAGCCATTATGGGAGACGATACATGCACCTATCGTATGCCGAATTTACCCTCAAAGCCGACAAACATGGGGGCGGTTAGAGACTAATATCGGGCCGTTCCATAAGGTCGGGCCAGGGCTTCCAATATCTTTGGTCGGCATCCACTGATTGGTTATATGAGCACCGTTTCACTCGCCTTGCTACGTGTGACTGATCCCATGTAGATCCTTCAGGCCATATGGGCCGAGGCTTATAATGGGCAGGATACAGTCTAAGAGACTGCAAATAAGAATACGAGGCTTAGAGTATGAGTAAAGTGGTTGTCGCATGGCGTAGCAAGAATTTAACGGAACATAAAGCGCCGTGGTAGGTCAGACCGGCTGGTTTCCTTTAGGTAAAGGTAATCCTTCCTGCCCTATGCCAAGAAGACGGGACTAAATTCTTAACTTTCACAGATCATATCCATTGCGTCTAGCTTGGCAATGTCCTTAGTATAGATACATAGCGTGGTCACACCGGCCATATCAGGTCAGAGAGTCACGACGTTTGCATTCCATCCCAGTCGGCCTGCAGAAGAATGTCATTGTACCAAGGAACAGTCACAAAATTGATTGTGACGTTGAACGTGGGATCCAAGGATGGTCGCGTATGCGGCGTCTAAAGGCATGCAAAGTTACACTGTTTGTCAAACCGCCGGATCCCAGCCTGCATCACCTGCTTGGCGGAATTGCGTTCCTTGCAGCCATCCTTGCAGCCATCCTTGCACGCATGAATACTGCATCTGGTGACAGAGCATTCTACCCTCCTACCATGTTGTTTTCGGGGCTCTTGAACAATTGCAAATCAGATGCCCCCATGCCAGTCAAGGAGCCTAGCACACCTGGTGTGAGCTAAATGATTCTAGCGTCAGACCGTTTCGCTCTGTCGGGTGGAATGGTCATGTCACAGCTATAGATTCAAGGCCGGAATAAGTCTGGTGTTTGCCGCGCCATAGCCAGTGTCGATCATGACCATTTAGTCCCCGATTCTCCGCAAGGGAGGTGATATTGGCCCGACTGTATGCGGAGGCGTGGCGTGACCGAGCCAACGTCGAAGGCATTCCCCTGCCGTGACCGAATGTGGTATAAAGGCCGACCGATGTGGAGAGCAGGACCACTAGTGTCGGGCGTTCCGTATAGTCGGGTCCGGACTTTCATTGTCTTTGGTTGGCAAGCCGAGATGTACCCGTTGATCGATTGTACGGGCCTCCTTGAACTCGCCTTTGATGGATCGCATGCAGATCTTTCAGGCCGCATGGGCTGCGTCTTACTGGCGGCATGATAGAATTCAAGAGACTGCCAATGGGAATGGGAAGGCTCTGATGTAGATTCAAGGTTAGCTACCAGTGAGCCTAGAGTCTATTTTCTAGCCATGACATTTTTATGTCCGGGGAAAGCATACTATATACGGGATTTATATCACAAGCAAGCTGTTCATCTCGTAGCGCAACCAGAAGTTGACTATAACACAATCGCCGTGGCTGGTCAGTCTGGTTCGCCTCTGTTGATGGGTGAGCAGGCCATTACAGACCTGTTGTCACGGGACATGACATTCACGCATGCAAGGGTGCAAGGAATGCAATCCTTGTAGGGATAGAGAGCAGCCGGGGGTTCGGTGACGCCAAGCATGTGACTTGAACCGGAATTGGGATGGACCAAATTCCATGACTCTTCTAATGTAATCCTTTAACCTGAAATAGCAGGTGTGAGATGAATCTCAGACCGTTCCGCTCTATCGGGTCAGGACTTGCCCAGACGTTGGTCCAACGGTTGCCCCATGCATAAGCCGAATATGGTCTGACCGCAGTTAGTCTGACGGGGATATGATTGCTGCTTGCAAGTCGCAAGAGTAGGACCTGTCGTAGCAGGACAGTTCTGGTGTCGATGCAGCAGCTTACTTTCGCATCAACGGTAAAGACAGTCTCGGGCTAACCTTGGCTGGTATTAATTTACAGGGTCAAGGATAATTTCTGGTAGTCTAATGCAGCCATATTGTATCGCATCAAGCAGATACCGCGAACCCTTTGTCCTATCTTACATAGAGTCAGTGCTTATATGTGTTGGATATTGTCGATAGGCTAACGAGCCGAAAACTCTCGGAATTCCCACCGACCGATTACCTCTTCCTGCCTTGAGGTCGGAACAAATCCAGTATTTGCCGTGCCATCACATCTGAAGGAACCTGTCGCCGAGAAAATCCCGTCCCTGGCCTGCCCTCGCCTGCTCGGCGGATCAAGGAATCCTGTGTAAAATTATGTATTTCGCCAACGTTCGTGGCTAGCACAGGAGTTTCGGCTTCATAAATATAGTTCCCTGCGACGCTAGCTTCAATCTCTTCCCCTGGAGCGTCCATCAAAGAGGGATCCCAGTGCCATGACCCGGCATCCCCCATCGCGTTGCTCGATTCGAATGGCTGTGCCGGCTGCGAATCATGCCCTATCTCCATCCCAGCGCCGACTACCAATGGTGAGCAGTTCTCCAACCCGCCAAGACTGTTGTTTCACCTACCTGGTAGAGAGACCCGAGCGAGTGTGTGCATTGGGTCTTCGTGGCCCTGCATAGGGTCTGTTACGGCGGCACATGTAGTATTCAAAGCCGGGTCGTAGTGGATTGAGTCGTGAGAATTGCAACATTCCGGGTCATTACAACCATCAGACTGCTGGTGGTCGACGAACAGGTCCTCCTCGGCAGGTAGGCTGGGATTTTCCAAGCTTGTAATGCTCTCAGTCTCGCTTCCCTCACGAGTGTTCTTGCACTTCCGGGCTAGTCTCGGACGTTTCATGCGGGCATGTCGACCTGGAGAGATCGGATTGGTCCATGCTAATGCAAGATGCCTGTAAAGCTACTCCATAGTAAGCTACCTTGATCAGTAGCCACGTGGTTCGCGCTGTGGCAAGACCGCGAGCCCAGGCCTACCTCAGTAGCGTCCGGCAATGACTGCCCTTCGGGAACGTGCACCGCCTTTTCGAAGTGGTTGTGGGTCGGGTTCCAGTAGATGAGGGCTGTGAGAACGTTTGCTGTTTCGCCCAATTCCACCGTCTTTTTCTGCAAAGACGTGCCTCGTTTCCGGACCTTGTCTTTCTGCTTCTTGTTGTGTGTGTTTCGCCGCTTAGCCATGGCGTGAGCGAGCTAGATTCGATGATGTTGGGGCAGATAACGCATCGACTCTGGTATGTCTCAGCGTCTACAACCAATAAATAGAGATACGTGCCTATGCGTGAGGCCAAGCTTTGAACCAGCTGCGATTTGCTCTGTTCTAAACCAGAGCGAGTCAAGAAGCCAATATCTGCCCTTATATCACCATTATTGTCCATAAATAGACACATCTCCAGATGATGTTTGTCATTGACAAGCTTGCCGCCGGTCCAGCACGTCAAAAGTTGAGCCATTGCTGGATCTTATTACTAGGTGTACCCTACTACTCCTGCCCAGGGGCAGGTTTCTAGGTCTGGCGTTTTCTGCGGAGGATTCTTTCTGGAGGTACACCACAGAAACTATTAAAAGAAAATGTCAGATCCAGAGGAGGAGCGTTTGTACGGTTCTAAGTTTAGACCTACTTAGTGGACTTTCTCAGCTGTTCCCGTGTGAACTCTGCAAATCTAATTTGCTGTGACAGGCTCTAACCTTAACAAACAAGAGGTCTATGATATATATTTTGCTATGATTCCAGCTTATCACGTTCTTATGATTGAAGTTTAATCATGGAGCCGTATCCTTTTGCTTTAAACTCTTAAACATTATCGCATCCTTACTTGGCCATCTTGTTCACAATTATATCTCCTTTACTACTAGACTCAAGCTAGTAAGAGAGACAGTAACCGCAAATGGCATACCAACATCTAAAAGAACCGAATACATATTACTGGGCTGGGACATCATCAACGTTGGGCCACTGGTACCCTTACCTGGGAGTCAACGGTGTCCTGTTAGGGTACATGGACGATATCGACCTCCCATTACTTTCCGATCAGCCGGTCTGCTTGCCATTCGACCAAATCACGGCCAGCAAAGCTTTACTCGATTCTCCGACCTTTGTCCCACCGCCGCACCCTCCTTCGCCAGGAACCTTGCATCCCGCACTATATCACCAGCAGTTATTTTCTGCAAATTCTACGTACGCGCCCACCAATACTTCCTGCCATAGTATGTAATCTGACTCATATGAGAAGATGGATCGTTCCAAGCTCCTTCTCATCACTTAGCAACCGTGTAGCTCCTCCCCAGGAATGGATCAGCTCGGACCTGTCCGTACCTACCCATCATGGCAGTCAGGGTGCTGTGACAAGTCTCGATCGGAACCAAGAAGCCAGCCAGATGCGTTCGGAAGAACAGGCCCCAGTTGTTGAGCAAGATGGCGATAAAGATGGTCACGGCAAGCCACTCGCTCCAGATATAACGGTGACTGCTTCCGGCAATTTCAGATGTGACCATCCGGATTGCATGAGGATGGGGAGGAGAGCTTTCCAGAGGCACGAACACCTGCAACGACATAAATTGACGTAAGTATGAACACAGTCATACCACCCGGACCTGGTTGACAGTGTCGTTAGCGTCCACGAGGAAAAGGTCCCAGTCGCTTGTCCATTTTGCAGTCAGACTTGCAACCGAACAGACAATTGGCGACAACACCTCAAGCTACATTGCAGACAAGAGGGCACGAGTGCCCGGGTCCCATTTCACCATGAAGCCCCGGGGTTCCTGGCGGCCGAGATGAGAAAGATCGCACGACACCGTCCACATGGCCACAAGGGGGCAAATGGGTGAAGGGCGATGCCGATGTTTCCTGGGACCGCAGAAGATCATCGCCTCAATTGGAATTACGCAAATCCGCTGGTTAATGAGGGAGTGCGTGGGGATTGGAAGTGGGTGGTGTGGGGCAAGCAAGGGAGGGATGGAATAGTCAGAGCTGCGAATTAATAATCAAAAGACCCCCGCCACCAGTAAACATATAAGAGAGCGCACTTCCCGCCTGTTGCGAATCTTAGTCTGGCTCAGCAGGGTAATTCCCTCCACAGGAGTTCTATTCGAATCTTCTCCTCCTCTTCCTATGATAGGAGTTGAGAAGTTATGGAGTTGAGGAATTCACCCTGTGCTCCAGCACCGAGGTCTGTCCGAGGCATCTCCAGACCCGTGACTGTCGACTCTTTCTTTTAGCTGTCCCAGCCATCTCCAAACCCGTGACTGTCGAGCGTCATGCTCCGGCACCGAGGTCTGTTCGAGACATCGCCAGATCCGTGACTGTCGAGTTTCTTGCTCCAGCACCGCGGTCTGTTCGAGGTACCTCCAGATCAGTGACTGTTGAGTTTTCAGCTGCGGTCACAGGTGGCAGATGTTCTTCTCTCCAACCAGTCACCGGGAGTCGCCCTGACTATCCGCTGCGCAGATATGCCATCCCCTACATTCGCCTGTCTGAGCAAGCTCCAGGTCCAGAATGAGATTGGCGCGATTGGGAATGACTCGAGACCGGGCCTTCGTCTACCGCACAGAGTCGATGCATCGGCCTCAGGCGTGTTTCCTTCCCGCATCCCCCTAGCTTTTGCTACATCAGACCGCTACGCTTCAGGGTTGGCCTCGATATGGGCATCAGGCGTCCGTGGCTTTCTTGCTATTTGGCGAGATGTTAAGGCTGCAGCTTGTCACTCGACCACCTCCACCATGATGAGGGTCAGTTCAGTGCGCACAAACTCTATCGCAGCCTCTCTGGCCAATAGCACCGACTTCGCATTGACTTCGAATGATAGCATGTGCGCCACGTTGGACAGCTCTTCTTCAATCTGCGGCCAGTTGCGGCTTGAGACGAGCCACTTAGCGCAGGTTGCTTGCGAGGTCTCGACGATCAACATGGAAGTTAATTAGGCGGTACCTTGTCACAGTCTAGGGCTTGAACGCCTATCGCAAGGTGACCAAGTACATTATCTATCGCGGTACTGTTATTTGAGTCCCAGCAGCCATCATCGACAGAAACAACTGCAACTATTGATGTGGATGTGTCAGATTTGAGCCAATCGTCAGGTTGAAGTGTGTGTGTGTGCATTCTCTGTCTCTGAAGTGTCCCTGTGCGACCGTGGCAGCTTTGTGCCAGAGGGGCTGGATCGGGATGGAACAACTAGGCTCCGTTGTCTACCTATAAAGGTGCCCTCTGGGCTCACCTTTAATCCAACAGGATGTCACCGCAGATTTGTCTACAGCGCCGCCGCAATCATTGAGATCGAGGATTAAGGTTAGACAATGGTCCTGTCCATTACCTGGTATACCACTTTCCTTTCGCGGCCAACAAGTCTGTTTCACAGTAGACAGTCGGCTAAGTCCCATCAAGGTCGGACTACGGGAGGGAGCAGAGGAGGCTTGTAACATTAGCGGGTCGCCATTTGCGTTGCAATGGCTCATGCATGCGCAAGGCCTCAACACGTGGTTTGGCCATCAGAACCGTAGAGAGAGACCGGTGGATGGCGGGGCTGGTGAAGAGAATGGCGCCAAGTGCAGAAAACGTCACTAGCTCTCAGGAAATAGCACCAGGCCTGGTTGCGACTAAGGTGCCGAGTCAAAGCTGAGCTCTGGTTTGTCTTGATGGATATATATAAGCAATGTGTCGGAACAGGCTTGAACGATCAATCATAATACTCGAGTATGGGGTCAAGGTCATGATGTTGCTGATGGTTGGATTGGGAGGTCTAGCTAGACCTGAAGGTCTGGCTAAGTGACCTCGCAATCCGGTATCTAATCACTTATCTAATCATACATGTGGGTCTTAGTATAGATGGTTTGCAGCTGGAATCGCATGGATCCAACATCTACACAAATTCTCCATACCCCAGCTAAAAGGGTCCTCAAACTACTCTGATTGGGCACCTCGAGCACGAGCTAGCCTAATTCGGGATAAACTGGGAAAAGCCTTGACTACCGAAGTAGGACGACACTTAACCAAGGAGGAAAACGATGAAGCGTTATCAACGATAACACTACTATGCGAAAAAGGACCCCTTCAACACCTTAACTCTATAACAAGCTGTAAAGCAGCTTGGGAACGGCTAAAAGTCCTATATAACGGAGAAGGATTCTCTCAAGAGTATAATGTCTTACTGTCACGGCGAGTGGCACCTAGGACGAGACAAAGCAGACGACAAGGGGTAACCGGCTCTATAGACGAAAATATCGAAGATGAAGAAAGAAAGAAAGAGAGCTAGATACAGGTGGGAGACAGAGCCATCTAGATGATCCCTATCTAGTGCTGGCCAGGGTGTGATGTGGGGCGCAGTAGATTGTGCTGGTGTGCGCCCTCACACTTACGAGAATTCCTTACTAATACGGCCGAAAATTTCGACTCTATAGAGGACTTCTTAAACAGAACCAAACAACTGGTTGATGACTTAGCCAGCAAAGGAGTCTCTTTACCAAAAGAGATTATTATAGCCTATGTGCTTAATAGCCTGGATAGCTCTTAGGAGACTTTAACCCAGAGTATAATCCAATCTCTACGTACGAACAAAGCCGCCTATACGGTTGAAACGTTAGTTTCGACTCTTATAGACGAAGCAAGAGGCAGAAACAGTCATGAGAAGGTCCTACTTTCTAAAAGAGGAAATATAAATAATGTGACGGCCTGCACAGACCTTCCCACATGATAAGCCGATACCTCCCAATCAGGGAAGGATCTGACTGGAGGATCCCCTTAAAGGGACAACCTCCCGCTGTACCTAGCTTTCTCTCTCTTCCTTTCCTCCTTAGTCTTGATATTATCGTTAATAGAGTAATAGCTGCTTGCTGCCGGCCTTGTCCCAGCTCCTCAGTAAGCTCGCCGTGACAAATAACAGCAAAAACTTGTGGAAACGGAGCTTATTGCAAATATTGTAAACTCCCTAACCACGCCGAAAAGACTGTTATTTTCTACATCCGGAAAGATCTCCTAAAACGTGGAGTAAACCACGCTCATCTAAAGTTACCAAACCGACTAAAAGGGGTAATCCGTCCCTTAAAGATTTAAAAGAACGAAAAGAAGAGCTACTTATAGCCGCCCTCGGTAACTCTCTGGAGGAAAATGATAACAATAAAACCAACGAGCAGGATTCAGCCTCCTATACACGTATAGAAGAGCTAGAAGACTGAAAACTGTCACGGCGAGCTTACTGAGGAGCTGGGACATAGCCGGCAGCAAGCAGCTATTACTCTATTGACGAGAATATCAAGACTAAGGAGGAAAGGAAGAGAGAGAAAGCTAGGTACAGCGGGAGGTTGTCCCTTTAAGGCGATCCTCCAGTCAGATCCTTCCCTTATTGGGAGGTATCAGCTTATCATGTGGGAAGGTCTGTGCAGGCCGTCACAAAAACCAGCCGAATTAGTTGAACACAATCAGGACCAAAGCTTATCCCTTAAGCCAGAATCTATATACACAACTACGGATCCCATGGCTCTAAACGACAGCAAATTTATTATAGACAGTGCAGCAACTATACCAACTGTCTGTAATAAAAACCTCTTATACACGTATAAAGAGGTAAATAAAACAGTCACTTGGGGAGCAGCTGGTAAATTACTAGTTAAAGGGATGGGCGACTTATACCTGAAATTCCCCGATTCGGGAATAATTCAACTAATTCGGGACGTTTATTTTATTCCTGAACTAGGAATTAATCTGTTAAGTGTTAAAAAGTTAAAAACACTTTAACTACTTTCGACTCATCTACAGGCATCGTTACTTTATACGACAAAGTAAAACAACGCCTAATAACGAAAGGATACGAAAAAGAAGGCCTCTATTACCTTAAGGCTAAAGTCTTTGAATCCAACGGGATTTATAGCACTATAGCTCAACCGGCTAGGGTCATTTCGGATGTGATCTCCACGTCTTCAAGTTCCATGTTGGTGAGTCTAGTTGGGCAGTTCGGGAGGGCATAAGTGTGCCACTTAACGGGTAGTTCTACTGCAGAGGCTTTTGTAAGCTGAGCTAGTTTGGCCTTTTGCGCTAGGATCTTTCCTTGTGCAGTTTTATCCCTTGGTCGAAGAGACAAGCCGGTAGGGATTCTGTGTGCATCTGCTACATCGGAAGCCACGAGGTTTAGCTCCTTGGTGATAGTTTTTCTAAGGGCGTACGTGCTGATAGTTCTCGACCAGCCGAGCTGGTTTTCTGGGAGCCTTATGAAGATGCGGAGGTCTTCTTTTTGCGTCGGCGGTCTGGTCCCGGGGTGTTTCTTAGGGCCGTTTCCAGCTGCCTGGGGCTGGATGCTATTCGCAGTGACCCCTGCATACGTGGGTCGTACGGGGTTGTTTGTGGTCTTTGTTGGGACTGCGGTGGGGTGCGCTTGGGCACCTCTTTTTCTGGGCAGGGGTTCTGTTGCTGCCGGCTCCTGTCCTTCGCTGTTGGCAAGTACGCTCGTGCGGAGGAACTGGGAAAAACTGGTGGCTATCTGTTGGGCGTAGGCCAGCTGTTCTGGGTCCTTTGCTACGGTCACGACGACTGTGTCGAGGGATCTGGCGGCGAGTTCCAGGATATCCGTTTGAATTTTCTCCTTGCGGCGTCGTTCATTTACTGCTTAGTGCAGAGCTTGTAGGGCCGAGCTTTGGGCCTGGGTAGCGTGTATGGAGGCACTGAGACTATCAGGCTTTGCGAAGAGGCTGATGGGGGTAGAGGCTGTTCCGGAAACAGCGTTATTCTTGTCCTTTTTATCCCTTCTTAAAAGTACCGTCGGGATTGGGGCCTATCGTGTTGAAGTTCTCCGCGTGTGGAGCGATCTCAGACACCCGGCTGAGCTGAGGGGCGGGGGATGCCGCTGCGCTGCGCTGTCCCCCAAGGGAGGAGTCGCAGGGACAGCGGCAGCTAATGGCTGGTAAGCCATAGCGAGGATCGTGAGATCCGGGGTTTGGTGTTTTGGCCAGATGGAGGCGTCTGTTAGCGTAATGGCTGGCTGGGGTAGGCTACCCACTAACAGTGGGCGCCAAGAAAAAATTAAGCCGCCATAGAAGAGTAGATTGAACGTTTTCGCAGCCGAAAACACCATGAATTGACTGATTTCACTGTAAGTGAAGTTGATGTCCAGTCGTGGACTATACTAGTCGACGATATCGAGCATATCTTGATAAATGGCAGCCCTAAACCCAGTCGGTCTGTTCAGTTCCAAGCTGGGTTTGCTATCAACACAACTATGCCCGGCGTCTGGGACTAGGGAGGAATAACTTCCCAGTTGAGCTCCGGGTCGAGAACCCGGGTTATCGGAGACCGATTGACCCGACCCCGATTCTCCCTAATGATGTACTGTTTACAGTTTTCTCATGCCTAGCTATAAGTACGTGTTAAGGGGTCCTAACCTCCTTGCTGTCATTATTATACTGTGAAATAAGGCGCCAGTTTTTTATAAGTTGACACATCATGGGAAGTCCTAGTATCCTTCAAACCTCGGTCATCTACACGGCACTTGCTATTGAGAGCTCGATTATAATTCTAAGCTTGATTGCCACCTTCAGGCTCCTAAGTCAAGTATCTCACCAGCCGCCATTTCCGGTGAGGGTCCTGTACAGGCGCCCATACACAGTTGCTGTAGCTTCAACGGCGGCACTGAGCACGTCGCTCACGGTTGCCTTTGCAATCCTCTCGTGTCTGAAGAGCGGATATTGGCCAGATTGGTTCTTCAGAACGGCAGTTCTCTGGAGCATGATACGTGAAGTAAGTCGAGCCCTGTAGTGCATACTCTAGATGACTGACAGCCATAAGACGTTACTAGCAGTGGGGACCTGGAGACACGGCCAGAGGCCTTTCTCTCCTCTTCCCCTAATCTGTGTCTCAGGCACTTTCTGCCTGTGCTTTGGCATTAGGACAAGAATCGAATCGTGGTACCCGGCATGGGGTCGCCCCTTGTATCAAGTTGCACTCGCGTCGTTCCGGCTGTGGGGTGGGTTGTGTGGGAGTGGACGAGAGTTGTCCAAGATCACCAAAGAGAGAAAGCCATCCTTGCAGCGCACTACCTCGTCCGAGTAGGAGCCTTATCTCTGACCATATTAGTGCAGCGCTGCTCAACTATGGCAGATGAACTCCTGATAAGTACTCACATCCTGGTGTCAAACCAATGCTTATTTTACAGGCTACCTGCACTTTCCTTACGACCTATTATACGACGCTTGTTATGCTTTCTGAATATGCGAAATGGAAACATAGACGGGCTCAGACTCGCGAGAACGATCGCGAAATGATTGTTAACACCACACAGTTAACAGGCACACTCGTTAGGTTGCATAATTAGAGTTGGTCTACTTGCGGAGAAAGAATGGAACGCAAAGATCTGGTCCTGTCCGGCTCCCCGCATTCTGCAGAATAGCGTCTGTTCTAGACGGCGCGTGGGAACAAAAGCCTGGAATGTGTCTCCTGTAGCCGGCGCACCATCGCGCTTCGCTGCCGCTGGGCAGGTCGTAGATGGATGGTGGGGGAGTTGGAGTATTGATACGTTGGTAGGTAGCTGTAGGGCAAGTGGATGGTTCTTGTAGTGGGGTGCGGGAATCTCTGCAAGCAACCAGAGGCGGATCCTGTGCTGTGAGGATCTCGCCAATCTGGTCCTTGCTACCGCGTATGGGCTGATACTGCAGTTGATGCAGGTAGCTAGCTTGTCTCGCCGTTGATCTCCTGGAACCGTTTGATAGTCCAATGAAAGACGTTGTCGTACTTGAAGCCCTCAGATTGAAAGCGAGTGCGGAAAAGGGTACGAAGGTACCTATAGTCAGGTTTGACCTGAAACCCCAGCGACCGCGTGTATTCGATATACGTGGCAAACTCAGCCGGCAGAAGATCACGGAAAAGCTCCCCGCCTGATAGAGCCATCTTCTTCTGTTGGACAAGTTTGCGCTTTTTGTCCTCTGTCGCGGCCTTCAAACCCTGCCAAGGGAGTGAACCACGAACAAAGTAGAGGAGCATGTACCCTAGGGATTCCAATTCATCACCCCATGATTGCTCTTCAATTTTGCAAGCAGCGATGCAGCCATGATGAGTGCTTGGGGATGCTTACCAAGACCCTCGTGGTTCTTGATACTGGCGTAGCGGGTAGTCCCACCAAATGGGAGACCCTGATAGCCTCGGTACTGCTCATCATTAGAGAACTCCTTTGCCATGCCAAAATCAATGGTATATAATATGTTCCCTTTTATTCGTCTCGCCTAGTTTACCCGAGTTGGAGGATCACCGGAGTTCTTGCTCCTAGGGTGACCGTCATCAAGAATCTCTTTCTAATCCCTAAGCGCGCGTTAAGTACTCTATCAAGACCCTCGGCTACATACCAAGATTCAAATGAGATAGAGAAGGATGCTAAGGTTCAAGGGTGAGGACATTCCATAGGATTGGCCACCACTCTTCCTTTCTGCGACAAGCAAAGCGGCAAGGTGGCACGGTGACCAAGGCAGCCCCCCGGGACCTGAGTGGACGGGGCCGGGTCAGCTTGCGCTGACCAGTGGGCTCGCATTCGGTGGCTGGGGGACCCATTGTGGGGAGGCCAGGGCATGTACGGCATTGGGAGGAGTTGAATGGTTGAGATGGCGAGTTGCCTCGTCCCTGGGTGCATGTGCCCCTTGGCTCATGCAGTACCACGATCACGTCGTAGTGCCTATTCATTAAGCACAGGTGTGAGTCGTGCTGTCCGCCTGTCTGCCCTCTTTCCTCATCACCATACTGTCGTTATTGACCCAAGTCAAGATGCCCGTGTACGACCCCGATGCGGTCGCCTATCTTTTCCCGGTGGAAGGTCAAGGTAGAAGTGGCGCAAAAGTTGCCATTCACTCAGAGCACAATGCCGACCTTATGGTCTCTGCCCGATCTCGAGATGGCTCTCCTCCTCCTCCTTCTCCTCAACCGGTCCAAATCAACGATCGATTCGTCAGAGAGGCGACAGAGCAGCCAGACGAGAGCGATGAAATACCAGATGAGCCGTACCTCAAGATCCCATTCAGCAAACCCCCCAAGACGACATCGGGTTATGTGGCTGGATGCTCTCTGAACTCGGATTTGGTTTTGCCCAAGTACAAAGGGGTCAGTTGGTATCATTTCGCCCTGACGTTCGATAACGAGAATTGCCTAGTCGTGCGAGATTTGAATTCCACAGTTGGGACGCGAGTTATCTACGACACGGAGGCTGGAGAGCGAGGACACGGCATCGCCTGGAGCACTTGCGGGCCGGCCTTGGCGAAAGGCAAAGCGCCAATCATCAAGGTCGTAGGCGACCTCCAATTCAAACTCGTCGTCCCGAATCACGACAGAACCTCCAAGGCCTATCTCGACAACGTCGCCCGGTTCCGCAAGGGAAGCACAACTGCTGATGATCTCTTTCACGACCTCAAGCTTCTCACCCGCACGCAGACGGAGCTTCCCACTCCCACAGGGGAGACCGATACACCAGGAGTGAAGGCCCCTGGCCCAATGTTCTGGAAACAGGCGCTGGGGAAAGGTGTGTTTGCCGTGGTGCATTACGCCTGGGACGTGACGACGAGACGAGAGTACGCGCTGAAAGAACCTCGCAAGGACAGAGGCTTCGACAAGGACGCGTGGGCAAAGGAGGCCGAAATGATGAAGGACATCTCTCATGTGAGTAAAGACAGACGTTAGACCGACCATCCACCAAAGTACAGAGGTGCTGACGGTCATTGAACTTAGGACCACATCGTGAAACTGAAACACGCAGTTTTCGATGACAACGAACCGCACCTATACTTCGAATTTATCCCCAAAGGCTCTCTGGATCGCTATCTATCAGTCATGACGACCTTTCACAGCGAGAATATCGCCATTCAGCTGCTTTCCGGCCTCGAATATCTCCACACACAAGAAATACCTATTGTGCATCGAGACATCAAGCCGGAGAACGTCCTAGTTCAAACATGGAGCTCTCATGACGTCTGTGTCAAGTTTGCCGACTTCGGCTTATCGAAACAGGCAAGCATCTTGAAGACATATTGCGGCAATCTTGCCTACGGAGCTCCGGAGGTGTACTGTCTGCCGAAGGACCCGACATACGGTCCACTGGTCGATATCTGGTCTCTCGGGGCTTTGATAGCCAGGCTGGAATGTGGCGAGTTGCCTCTGTACCCAGACCATTATAGGACCTCTGGGACACTTTGGGCCGAGGTATTGGTCGAGTTTGTTCGGGCACACCTCAAGCATCATGGCACCAGAAGACTACTCGCCTTTGTCCTGGAATGCATGTTGGTGGTCAAGCCAAGTGGCCGCCGGACGGCGCCAGCATGCCACACCAAGGCACTGGAGTTGTTTGGGAAAGAGACGCGCCAGTGCGACGTGGCAATTTCGTCCGTGGAATCCTTCCAGACGACCACTGATCACTATGCTCCACCCTTGCGCGAAGATGACGAAGAGGCTGAAGACGAGAACAACCCATCCACGCCCAAGGCTTTGCCAGCGGACAGGACTCCCATACAACAAGAGTATGGAACAAGCCTCATTGCCTCCTTGGGCTACGATGACACTGGCGCCATTGATCGCCGGCTCGGGCTGGTGCCGTCGGACATGTCGGAATTTGAACGATCACTTGGGGTGTCGGTGGAGACGGCTCGCGCTGCTGCCGCCGCCGCATCCATGGTCGATGGGGATCTGTGGTCCGCGCCAGTGGAGAGAGGAAAAGAAGGAGGGGAGGAAGGGGAGGAAGAACAGAAGATAAGCTTCACGGAGTCATACATTGTCAGCGCCATATTGAACGACCTCGCCAATAATGTGGCTGGAAACACGGCTGTCGATGGTGGGACAAAGGACAAGAGAACCGTTGTCGAAGAGGTTTTGTCCAGGAAACGGCCGAAGGTATTGGAGGATGATAAAAACTGGGGCCTGGAGTAGAGGAGAGGTTTTGAAGTGTTTATTTATAGTATAGGCTCGAAAAAAGAAAATTTAAAGACAGGCAGTAGCTCCATTATTGACATCGTGAGATCTGAAACGTCAAGGTTCGGGGCCCACTTATAAAACAGCTACCCAGCCTGGGTGGGGCGGTACCCCTGGTGTTGCCCGCCTAGGCCCTAGCAATATCCCCTGTAAATTCCGCCTCGGCAGCTAGCTAAGCTCCAGCCAGTACGCATTTGGAAATGAGTCTGCACCACTCGCTCCTTACTTCTCACCACCGAAAACGAAGTTGTCGCACCCTTATCCGAACACATGTCGTCAATTGAACAGCCCATCTCTGCTAAAGATTTGCTCAGCTGGGACGAGAACCAGCTCGTCCGCTTCGTGAACGCTTCTCGAACCGGACTCAATGGCACCGAGTTCGACATCTCGAGAGTCACAGGCATTCCAAGCCTCTCAGACACCCAAAGAGAAGAGCTCAGCGACAAGTTGAAGTGAGTGTCAATGCTCCTCCTTCGAAACTTTACAAGCTAATTCCTTGCGCCCACAGCTCTGCGATAGGAAAAGCTGGTTTACTAGACGCCGACGATCTCTTCAAGCGCCTCGCTGAACCCCGCGAATTCAAACAGTCACGGTCACCGCAATCACCTGCGAGATCCCCAACCGCCAGCCCCCCGCCAACCCAAGGCAATGCAGGCTACGAGGCTTTCTGTTATAACGAGCTCCTCAGAACTGGCGGCAGGCCGGCAGTGTCGCTCGAACTTCTGACATGCGGCTCGGGAGGCCTGCAGCAGGCAATTGCGGCGTGGGTAGACGACAAGGGCTCCAGACTTGGAGATGGCGACGTGCCGGAAATAATCTCGGCCCAGCTCGAGCATTGGAACGTCTACCAGCAAAGATGGCAGTGGGACAACCGTGGCAAGGCGGCGGGTGAGGCGGGCTTCCCCGCCTACCTAGCTTGGCAGAAGAAGACGCTTCTGCACAAGGGAGAAGTTGATATTGCTTTTGACCCTTCATTTGACAGCACGATGAAGCGTATGTGGGACCATGAACCGACCTCTCTGGAGGAGTCAGGCCGCGAGGGCTTCGCTGCCTATGCGGAGGCTGTCAGGAAACGACTAGCGATGCATCATTTCACACAACCAGTCCGGCTTTCCGAAGATCCATGCCAGCAAGACGACTGGACCACCTGGGTTGAATATCTCAGTTACGTCTATTGGTGTCGGGACAGGCACGCGGCAGCCATGAAACTCGCAGATCCGCGATATCGCAAGGCGTGGAAAAAGCTGGAAAGTGTCAACTGGTCGCGGTCCTCTTCGGCTACGACAACCGAGACAGCCGCCCAACAAGAGCTCGAGATGCTACGAGCAAATAATCACAGCATCCTCCAATTCCTCAAGGAGACACGGGCGTACCGACGGTCCGAGGCCGCTTGTTGTCGCGAAGAGCTTAGAGCACAGTGGGTCCTAGGACAGCTGTCCGTGATAGAGATGGAGACGAGTGTGTCCGAGACAACTAAAGATGAGGCCATTGAAGGCTCGAAGAAGAAGAAGAGAAAGCGTGATGACAATCAGGATGATGCCAGAAAGGACACGATGGAGGAGAGAACACGCGAGGACGACTTGAGTGGCACCGAGCCTCAAGCTCAGCCGAAGCGAAGGAGGCAAAACGGCTGCAGTGATACGGCCCCAAAACTACACCTAGCAACACAGAGTGGAGGTGGCGTTACGTCTGGCTCAGGAGTGGTGGAATCGGCACCAGAAACCTTCAAACCCCGTCGAAGTCGGCGTCTTGGTTTATATGTCAAGGCACAGACTATACCCCCGGAGCCAAAGAATAGAAAGCAAAAGAAGCGAAAGTCGCCTGTATCCAACGCGCCCCAGTCCATCGGAACCCAACAAAGCACACGCGGCTCTGTTTTGACTTAGGCAAATTGGCATCTTTGGGCTTCTTTAACATAATCTCAACAGGCCTTCACTTGACTGGGAGAGAGAGGTTCGACTTGAAATCACAGTGCAATATTGATCAGATTCCTAGCATTATGTGATTTATAGTTGTGCGGATCGACCCTCCAGCCGCAAGCTCCTTTATTTAAGCCATCTAGTGTCTGCTCAACAGACTAGAAGAGCTGAAGAGAGCAAAGCGCAGAGTGGGAGGCTAGCGATGGAGCAGCGTAAAGGGGAGCTGACTATCAGACTATCGCCTCGTCTTCGTTCACCAGGGTAACCTAGGCGGGAGCGATAGCCCCAGCTAGAAAATAGCTTGCGTATCCTATATGAATTTTTTTTAATTTTTTTTTATCTTTTACTATCAATTGAACTTGCTTGACAATCCCGCATCTCCTCAAAGCTCTCTGCAGCCACTACTGTTGTGATTCATGATGAATGACTTGGTGAAGACCAACAGACGCCGTCTTTCTTCTTCCGAGCTTCTTCCTCTTTCTTGCGAAGGGCCGCAATCATCCGTCGTTGCCTCTCCTGATTGATTATAGCCCTTGTCTTTATTGCATACTCTTTGGAGAAGGAATAGCCCCTGCTACGAAGATTGAGCCTATGGATGTGGCCATCCTGCATGCCACGTCAGTGTGTCGGCTGCATGTTACGGGTTATGAGCACCCATGTCCAATCCTTCTCAGCCCCCTCTCGACTTCTCTTACGTGACGCCAGTATTAACCCCCCTGATGGTACTATCCCTTGAGCTTCCAACCATCTAAGGGTAGGTACTATGAAAGCTGTCATATCATTCTTTGTTATCACAGGGGTTACGTAAGAACCTCCCTGGGGTTCAAACACGACTTTATCATCATCCTCGTCAGGAGGATCTTCCACAGCAAACAGCTGGACTATATGCTCTGCTCCCCTCAACGATTCCAACCTTGGAACTTCATCGATGAGATCCCAGTCCGACCCGATTCCCTGCTTGATCACTACCTGGCGTAGGACGTCGCCGGCCGCGTTGCGCTGGTTGGCAGTGGTTGCAAAGAAGCGCCCCGCCTTCTGGAGAATGGAGACTCTTCAGGTACTCAAATCTGTGCCTTTCGTTGAAATAGTCGGCCAGGTTCCTCGCTCGGTCATTGAGGTCCGTGTAGTGCTTTGTTGATCTGTAAGCCGGGGGGTGAAGCCATTTTGCTATAATTTGCCTGTGGTGGGCGGCGAGATTATGCTAAGACGAAGTTGGTAGACGTGCCTTGGCCTACATCCGCCTACCTCCGCCACCTGCATACGAGAGAATGAAACAATGGAAAGAAAACTACAATACGTCCGAAGGATAAGGCGTTCAGCATGCTGGAAATTCCACCCACGTCTCAGTCTAGTGGCCGACAACGGTACACAGTCATCTTTGTTCCGGGTTTCCGGTCAACCCGCAAGCCGCACAGCAACGTGCTCGCCCTCACAACTAATTACAGACTCAATCGATAAGTCGGATAGCCTGTCAATGATATATAGTTGTGAGCCGATCAGGCACATTGTATCGCTTATTGGAAGCCTGTGTGTTGTCGCACATGTCTCACAACACTTATGCTGTGAACTACTGTCTACTGTTGCAAATGTCGACCGGTGGATATTTTTTTGCACACGCCAGGCAATTCCGAACTTACGCACCGCATGTTTCTGCTCGATGCTCAGCCTGCAAGCCCAAGCAATTTGCTAGTCATACAGTCACGCAACTCTTGAAGCTGTAGGGCGAAGCTCTGCGTGTGCAAACAGGCGAATGACCTGCTGAAATAGATGTCGCCCCAAACCCGGTGCAGGCGAGCGCCGACCGTGGTGCGCTCATCTCCTCTGGCTTGAGCATTCGAGATATTGGTCATTGCTGCCAAGTGGTCAGCTTGCCAGCCTCGATTTCCCGCCCCCAATCTGCTGTGAGCGGAAAATCTGACTTCGGCAGCTGAGCAACCTGCGTACCGACAAGCTCCTCCATTGACGCCAACGCCACTTTGGAGTCGCCTTGCAGATCGGCGTTCTGATCATGTACATGCGACGATACCAGGGCCAATTGGTGAGAAATCCAAGGATGCGGGTGCGGATGCAGATATTCATTAGCCCGGCCGCCCCCTGAGTGATCTTTCCCCTATTTCTCATCCACCCCGCGCACCTGCAGCTGCAGTGTAACGACACGGCACATCTCGTCGGTCTTGCCGTATTCGGCGCGTCTTATGTGCATGTAGCCAGCGCCCAGGTTCCCCTCATTCGATACAATTTGATTTCCTGGTGTGACACTGCAGAGACCGGAGATTGTGAGTTTCGGTGAAGTTTACCGTACGCTGGAAAGTCAAATCTCCCAGCAGAGGACCCGCTTATAAGTATCTTGGCCGGCGGCTGGCGGCAGCAGTAACTGGGAGTGTCAGCTGCCAGCTCCTCTGAAGCACTAAGAGCCCCGCCCAAGTCCGAGGTTAAATCAACTTCTAACCGAACCACCAACAATACATCTCATCACGTCTTGTCAATGGAAACCCCTTGGATGCAATTGTCCTCCGTGTCACGGCAGCACCGGCAGCAGGACCTCGAACCGGTCGACAAGGGTTTCTTCATCCTGTTGTACCACCCACCATCACACGAGGCCAAGGATCGCTGCATCGCAGCCTGCTTCAGGCTGAGGATTGAAGCTGCATCAAGCGATCGACCTTCTATTTCCAGACCAGTCCGCTTCTGCACGCGACGAAGACTCGTAGCCAATGGCAGCCTGTTAGTATTCCGGCGGAAACGCTCCTTGAGCCTCCTCGGGCCGTGTTCATGACAAAAGACCGTTGTCTCTCTCGCAAGCTGAACAACGGCCCCCAAAATACTGTAGCATCCCGGTGCAAGGTCACATTCTGTCCCACTTGCGCGATCCTTGTCTTGAGCTACTATTGGTCGTCTTGGTATCAACTTGCAGGCACTCCACCACCATGGCAACATCAAGATCCTGGGTGCCTGGCTACGGTACTTGCCTGCTGCCACCCGAGGCTGTTGGAGTATTGCATGGCGGACGATGCAGGCCTATGCAGCCAAGATGCAACCAACCAGCAGGTCGTATCCCTTCGGCAGACTGCATACAAGTCAACAAATCCCATCCAATGCATATGTGTAAGCCGAGATTTATTTTGACGGGTGGCACTCATGCTTCTCTACGGTTGTGTCACCCACTCCCAATGCTTGCCATCTTGATAGGTGACAGAATACTGTACCAGTGATGATGGTGTCTGTTTCAAACTGACAAATGCGCCACGTATCGTTGCAGATTCATTTGCCCTAGCCAGTATCTCGCCGTAAAATAAAAACCCCGTGATTGCTCCCATGTACGTACCAGCACGTCGATCTATCAGGGAATCGTGCAAGACAGCCTGCAGTCCTCGGGACATGCCGGATGTGTATTCCCACTACTAGCTACCTGCATGAGTCTTGTAATAATGTCACACATGGTTTCAATCCGTGCTGACGTGTCAGAAGCGGCTGATTCAAGTACCTATATGCCCCGCGGAGCTTCCTCTGTCGTTGGTAAGTTTCTCTGAGATACCTGTTCTCTCATGCCCTTCCCGTCACATTGTGTTCAACGGGGTTCACGACTTGTTCACAAGATCTTGAGGCAGTATTCCTGTGTTAGATGAGAATATGTCTGCCGCTCTTTTCTGCTGCTCGTCTGTGAGCCCGTTCCGCCCACGAGTACTCGACCACGAGTTCAAGTTCACGGCATTTACCCTTTGGGCGCATCTTCAGAACCCATCTGGGCCCCCGAAGGAGGCCCTTACGACGGGCATCAACAATGCACCATATGCGATTCAACTCGTGAGACAGATCAACTACGGACCGCAAGAATTCATCAGATACTTTATTCCCAAAGCTAATGGCTCGGACTTCGCCGAGGCAGCAGAGGACGAGCTAGTCGGGTCGAACTTCGAGAAGCTCAACTCGTGAGTCCTCCCCAAGAGGCTGGCAGGTTCCAGACCACCGGCTAATACTTCATCATCGTCAGATACAAGAACTTTAGATGTGGCACCCACGACAAGTTCTTCGAAGTCAACTTGTATCAGAAGAACCCCAAGAACACGCACCACTGGCGAGCCACACTAGCACGACCGTCTCGAGATATCGACCTACATCTCCGTCGGCAAAACATAGAGAAACCAGAGGCTGACATGGTGAAGGAATTGAGTCCACCGCAGAGCAAGGCCCCCGAAGAGGAACAAGTGTCACGTTACCCTCAGCAAGTCCAAGCCCAATCTCAATGTCAGGAAGCATCCCGAGAACAAAGGGATCATACGTGTACATATACATGGCCTTCGCGCCTGATTAGTACTGCACCTCTCTGCAGAACAACATACATCTTACCCCCCCCCTATGGTTGGCCTTCTGACACTCAAGAGACTTTGTGGACTCAGAACCCACTGCCTCTCACGCCAGAACGGCTCATCGAACCAGCACAGCCTGAAACTGCGACTTTGCATAGCATTCTGCGCTTTGTATTCCTCACAATCGGACAGGAGCTTCATTTGAACACTCTCGTCATTCTATTGTGCCTTGATCGGGTCAATTTGGAGCTCCACCTCGGACTCGAAATCGAAAATCGGTGGGAGACTGAGCTGATCGAGCCAAACGTCATCAACTTTGTCAGCGATTTCTGCGCCGCGCACAAGTCCTGTCGGCGTGTTCCAGTTCACATTGCGCAGGTCAAAGAGACAGTGGTCTCGGCAATGCGCTACCTTGAAGTGGACAGGATTCAGTTGCCGAGTGGGAAAGCCAGGCTGCAGAAAATCGTCAAGAAAGTTCTTGAGCTTGACAACCACATGGACTATGTGACCGCGTATGGAGGCGATATTCTGCGCGTGTTCGACTCGGGCCCTACGCAGGCGCTACTTCAGCACTGTCAACGCGAGGATGAGGCTCTCCAGCAGAGCCTCATGGGGGGAAACGTTGAGGAGCCCGGTATAGTCGGACACCAGCGGGTATTC